CAGAATGCATAGCGCGGCGGTGGGTGTGGATAATATTGCCGAAAAAACGGCAGAAGAGGGGCGGCCGAAGAGTAAACTTTTAAAAGTAAGTACTAAGTAATATGTCACTCATTTATGTGCGAATGTTGAATAATTAAGAACATTAAAACATTACTGTTGCCCACATGTCGGCAGAGTTATGTGACATTAGTGATGTTTGTACTAACTTGATCTTAAAGCCTTTACTTCAAAATATACGCCGTTCAATACTCGACCTTAATCTTACAGAGAATGTGATGATTTTATGGATAATTAAAGTCAGTAATATATCCACAAACACAACAAGCTGAAAGTCAGTGATGCTGCTTGGTTTGCAGTCCTGAATATCACGGCACAAGCAGTTAATGTTAGCTATGTTATATTGCTGCCTCTGTTCGGTGGTGTGGAGCCAAACGGACTGTAACGTGTGTTTGAACGAGCTGACGGTTCACTCGTTAAGCTGAAAGAAAGAAGCTTTAATCACAGGAGTCACACATGTGTCCACTGTACCATCTGGGAACTCTTCTTGTTTAGCGCTCGTAATAACACAAACACTAAATCTTCCTTCTCTTGTGCTGTTTTGTAGCAGTGTATACACCTGAGACTCTCACCTGTCTGTCCTACACTCTCTCTGTGTTTCTTTCTCTCTGATTGTGGAATAAAAGTATGAACATGTATTTATAAGTTACACTTGTGTTTGAATCCTGCAGCTTATCACACATTTGATTTCCATGCGTGACGACTGCAAGTGTCCAGGACACCAGGACAACCTCAGCAGTGTGTGAGGAAGAGGAGGAGGAAGAGCCAGCAGCAGCTGACAGATGGAGAGAATAGACAGACTGTTCCCTGTTTGTGAAGGGCTGCTAGAAAAGTTCAAAATAACAAATTGTCTGTGCTGAATCAGTCTTATTAGGTAATGTTCAAATAATTTTATCATTCCAGTGTTTTCAGTGTGGGAGAAAGTACTCAGGGCCTTCAGGTTACACACTATGAAAGGCAGCAACAAGTTTAATATTCAAAAACCTAAAGTCTGTATCAGCAGCAGAATGGAGCTAAAGATAAATGTTTGTTTCAGTTCTATGAAGCTTTGAATATTTTGGATTAGTAGCACTGCTGTGTTTGTTGCATCATATTGCTGTAATTGTTTATATGTTTTATATATTCTGAGCTAAGTTGATCTATAGTGTTACATCATATTCTATAAGGATGTTATGTGTTTGGATACTTTCTGCCCAGTTTGACCCATTTAGCAGAAGTCAGCCTGTTTAAGGCTCTGATATCTATTCTGTATGACTTAAAGCAGTTATGACATGGTCTGATTTTCTCACCCAATAAAGGAATATTTCATATATCAGTCTACTCTTCATTCTATCAGAAACAGTTTTCACAGCTCGTACATTTACTTTTTACACATGTATGTAAGCATTGAGCCAAATGTGATAATGCCAACATACTGGAAGGAACAAAATTTGTCTCTTATATATGATACATCTATATATACACTGTCAAAGATACTTGAGTGTCTTTGAGTGAAGATTTAAGGTGATAGGACATATAAATAGCTGCAACTTGAATCTTTACTGAAGTTCAGTTTTTGACATAGAGTTCACTCACATGAATTTCACTCACATGTGCTGTATAGTGTACCTGCACATGTGATGTGACAATAGAAGTGATTTGATTTGAGAGTTCAAACTCACTGCTGTAATAACTAACAGAGGTGGGACCAAGTCATTGTTTTGCAAGTCTCAAGTAAGTCTCAAGTCTTTATCCTCAAGTCTCAAGTCAAGTCTCAAGTAATGTCAGGCAAGTCAGAGTCGAGTCTCAAGTCACTGGTGTAAAAGTCCGAGTCAAGTCACAAGTCTGAAATTTTGAATTTCAAGTCCTTTCGAGTCTTTAAAAAAAACGAAAAAAGCATGTTGCAGTTATATGCTAAATGTAAATATTAGACCATGTAATTTTTAAATCTGTTTTTCTCAACGCATGACAAAATAGTGAACGTAGAAAATATACACAAATTGTGAAATTGCACCTCTTTAAAATGCAGCTCAATTAAACCTAGCTCCAAGAATAATTTTCACCAACAGTTCTGAGATAAGCTGCATGTTATTCTTGGATGCGGTTGTAGGACCGGCTTTAAAATCGCATGACAAAAATATCATACACATAAAAAAAAACTGTATCACCAACGTAGCCTGGAAAACATTTGCTAGTTAGATGGAGTCAGCTATCTCATCCTAGCGTATTTATATGCATATTTATAATCATACGGTTCTTGGAGTGAGTGCATACACTCGTGAAGTTTAGTAACTTCCGGTCACTGCAACAAGCCCAGGTACAGTTTACCGACGGATGGGTGCAGGACCTTGAAATGCACCGTGTAGAAAGTAAAGACCATCGTACATATCATAAGTTTACCTGTCTCACAAATCGTCGTCATAAATACACATTCGTTAACCGTTTATTAATAGGACCTTTGAGCTCAATGGTAATTAATTAGTAGTAGAAATAATTTCTGGTACGCATCACAGAAATGTAGCAGTGACAATAATATTGTATGCTGTAATCGTACTGGACAATTAGTGATACAATACAACTGTTTTATCCTGTGAATAAAAGTATATGTTTTTGTCAATGTACCATAATAACAGAAGCGAAACGCAATATTGTGTCAGGACAATTCACTATTTATGCACAATAAACAAAGGAGCATAGCGCGACAATTTCTGTTCAGCGCCAGACTTGCTTGTAACCTATATCACCAATTATGTTATGAAAATGAGTATTAACTACAACAGCAGACTGACCTTTGTGGGAATGCTTGGAGCAGACTAACCTGTGAGCTGGAGGGTTCTGGGACGTTATATTTTGTCTTTGAATGGCTGCAATCCAGTCGCGTCTTTGTTACTTCGGAAACATGGCTTGAACAATTTCTCTTCAACGACGTAATCCGATAAAAACGATCTCTTTACCCGTCGGCTTCCCGTGGCTGTCATGCGACCGGCTATTGCAGTTAATAATACAACAGCTTCTTGACATTTTTGTGTTTCTTTTTATGGCTGTATAACTGATTTCAATTGAAAGCCTGCGTGCGCTAGTACCTCTTGCCACGAGTTCCCAGAATCCTTTGCGGTTCTACCCGTGAATGACGTCACATTTTCAATCTCTATATAATATGCATGTTAAATTTTATATTTGGGGTAAAATATCAAGTCTTTTCAAGTAAACCGGTTCAAGTCCAATTCAAGTCCCAAGTCATTGGTGTAAAAGTCCAAGTCAAGTCACAAGTCTTAGAACATTTTTTCAAGTCAAGTCTAAAGTCATAAAATTAATGACTCGAGTCTGACTCGAGTCCAAGTCATGTGACTCGAGTCCACACCTCTGGCATCTGCGTCTGAATAAACAATGAAAATCAAAGACTGCAGTGTTTTATATAAAGTAGACTAGTGTGTTCCCCCTGATCTGTAAGTGTTTGCATATGATGCAAGTATGTGTCATTTTGTCAACAGAGTTTCATTTTGACAAAGGAATGTTAGGTTTTGACAGCAGAGTTTAGGTTTTGAGAGTAGAGTTTTAATTTGGCACAGATGTGAATTGTATATTTCCCAGTGTTGTGTCATGTTTACTTGTGTTTAGAGTTTTGGCACAATGAGCAAAGTTTTGCAAAATGTGTTCAAGCAACGAGCAAAAACTGTAATAAAGCTTCTGTTTTCAGTGATGAAGACATGTACCTGATCTGCAAACTGTCAAACCTACCACTGAAGAAATGTTCTGACTCACTGTTTTAGCCATCATTGTGTGGCCTTTATTACAGTCACTCAGATCCTTAAAGCTATCGATGTTTCTGCGCTTCAGAAATGACGGTTACCTCACTAGCATAAAGGTTTCTTATGTGAAATTGTGCATTGGGGTAAAATATCAAGTCTTTTCAAGTAAACCGGTTCAAGTCCAATTCAAGTCCCAGGTCATTGGTGTAAAAGTCCAAGGCAAGTCACAAGTCTTAGAACATTTTTTTCAAGTCAAGTCTAAAGTCATAAAATTAATGACTCGAGTCTGACTCGAGTCTAAGTCATGTGACTCGAGTCCACACCTCTGATAACTAATAATGATTAGTATAATAACTATAATATTGGCCATATCATATTTACACTGACTTTAGTCTCATGAACAACATTAACTATTTGTTATTTACTAGCTAATCTTATATGACTGTTCAGTACAGATATGAAGCCCATCAATCATGTTTTACAGTCCTGTGGTCTTAGCCTCAGATACTTATTAAATCACACAAAGCTCATGTAGAAACAAACAAACGAACGAACAAAATATGTTCTCCTTCATTTCAGTCAACCACACGTTTCCAGCTATCATGGTTGCTAGGCAACCTGGGCAGCGCGACGGAGGCTAGACCGTCCCATTTCACAAGCCTCACACTTCCGGCCTTAGCGGTCTTTGAGTACGCGGCCCTTGAGGATCGTTGAGGCTGCATACTTTAAGGCTGCAGACCCTGAATTGGGATACAGCCATCATCTGTGCACTAAATGAAGGTGGATGTGGTGTGACTTTGGTTTGTGAACTTTTATGAAATCATCCTAAATAAAATGGCATCATGTGTTTATTTTCATTTTATTATATTATTGCACAGCAGACTGTTTAAAACAACAATCACAGAAATGAAATGAAATTCCACATACGTCATTTTCTGTTTGTGAGCGTTAACACCGGAACCTGAACCTGTCCGCTTTCATCTTCTGTGTTGGTCAAGCTGGGGTGTCTCTGTTACAGAGCTTTATCACACGGTCAGTGTAATATAGTCATACATAGTCGTACAGCTCTGTGGACCATGGGTTCAGCTTTTATTGTAATATTCATGGATGGATTGGCACTTTGTTTTATTCACTGTTTCCACATTAGCTCAGGTTAATAAGGTGCTCTTATTTTGAAAGGCGACAAGCAGAAGAGGAAACAGGAAAAGAAGAACAACAAAATGGAGAAAACGGCGGAACATAGCTGGTGCTTATGGTGTGGTTGATGAGGATTGTGTGGATAACCCGTCTGTCATCCACGGACAGTAAACTGATCGCGAACAGTTGAACTAGCACAGAAGCGAGCACGTTCCTGTCTAAGGGTCAAGCTAGCAGCTGTCTAACTACGCTACTGTAGCTAGCGACATTAGAGCAGTTAGCAGACTTTGCTAACCTTCGGGTGGAGACCGAAGGTTACATTGCTAATTGTGAGAGGACGTTCCCTTCTCTTCTTCCTGTGACACACACACAGGTAATAACAATAAAGACACTTGAGCATATCGGAGCTCAGTGACGGAGGAAAGATGACATTTTTGTTGTTTTAGGCGGAGAGCCGCCATAAGCATCAGGCCGTGACGGGAGAACAGAAGGCTTCAGGCGCAGAACGTGTGTGATTATAAATATGTTATAAAACCCCTCAGGATTCATCTTTAATACTTGTTACATCAAACCTGACTTAGTATACATCAGATTCTCGAATTTTACCACCCTGACTTGTTTACCATCATGATCAGAATACAGTCATACTGATTATTACAGTATGGTAGAAGCTGCTGTTCATCTCCGTGGTTATACACTCAACATGAATTGGTGCAGTAAAATCATTACGTCACATTCTGGGATCAATGATCGATAGATTCATGTTACAGGTTTAAGTCGTACACTTCACCTGTTTGAACTCTGGACTCTTCACGCTGTGATAACAGAGCCTGTATAAAGCTGTTCACTCTGTGGAAGGTTAGAGATGTACTGCAAATGCAAAAGGTTTGGAATGTGTCAAAGGTTGAAGGTTAAACAGTTTGTTACGTTAACTGAAATCCTGCCTCTGTCTGGTTCAGTCTCACCTGATGCTCTTTCACACCCTCACCTGTGTCACCTTAGTAGCACAGGTCCAATGTCTGTTGCTGGCTCATCTCTAACCTGTCATTTCTTTCTTTCCAGAGGTTGTCCAGCTGTTCTTCCTGTTAGAACTCCATCATCCCAAATCTGAGGGACATGCGTCTTCTTTTGGACCAAAGAAACTTTCAACCTGTCAGATCAGATGTCTTCTAGAAGGAAACCTGTGAATGCCACAGCATTTCTGGTAAAAATATTTGCTATTATTATTACTATAATATTTACTATTTACAGCTCACCTATAATCACACAATTGACATTCATATTTACACTTTTAATAGTGGCCTTGAAGCAAATCAGCAGAAAACTTGTTTAAAAGTAGGTGTAAAATGCATCAACAGAGTATGGATGACATGTAAGAGTAAAAGACACTAGATTTCAAAAGTTTGACTAAAAAGAAGATTTCCGGCAGAAGTACATGAACAGAACAAAACACAGCCAAATTATAACCAAAGCAAAGAAATCCGTCACATGCTCATGTCTATTGTGTAATTTTGGAATTAAATAATAATGGGCAAATGTCCTGCTGCTGTCTCTGTGCTCTGTCACAATTGTTAGTGTGCATGCTGTGGATGGTCAAATTAAGACCACGAGGGACTTCACAAAAAACACAGCACACCAGCAAGCCTGCACACCAAGGGTTCTGGGGAAACGGAATTCCTGTTTACAGACAACAAGTGATTAATCTAAAGGGTCAGCGATACGAAAAGGCAACAAGAGACTAGTACTCCGGAGCTTACTGCCGAGGTTACTCAATAGTCCAGCGACGAGATGTTTCCAGCCACTGCCTTAAGTAGTGGATGAGTTTAGGCGATGAGCCACAGGTGTGTGATTAACCTCAGGTGCGAGGGCCAGGGGGGGAGCCCGCAATGAGTTCCGCCTCGGCAAGACACAGCAAGCGTGAGAGAGGTAGATGTAAACAAGAAACATATGTAGCCAACCCGAGTCAGCCAGGCAGACACGGGACCATGACAAATACGTTTTTGTTTGAAAACAAATCTTTTTCGTTCTATTTTGCCCTTCCTTCCACACTGAGATGGCAGTTTTGGTGAAGGAAAACTGAAACGCTCTCCAAAGTGGATAAAGGTGAAAACACCATTTTCGCGTTGCAGTGTGGACTGCGAAAATGGAGGCTTTTGAAAATGATGGCGCATTTTAGACCAGTTCAGCTAAGATGGCGGACAGCATTGTACAGCAGTTGTTTTGTTTTTTTTTTGCTCTCAATTTTGACAGCCCTATTAAAGATTAATACCAGTTTGTACCTGATCCAAACAATAGAATGTTTACTCAGAGCTGTTGTTTAGCAACTTAATTTCATTTTGCCACAACGTTTCAAAGAGCCAAGTAAAGAACGTAAATAAATGGCAGACGGAAATTACGCAGGTCGAATTGTCTTACGTTTCACATATACGCAGCGTTTTCAATTATTTCAGTGTGGATGAACAAGTCTCGGAAACGATTGAAAACAATGGTGTGAATGCGGAGCGTTTTTAGACGAAAACACTGTTTTCGAATTTATCTGGATGAGTGTAGACATAGCCTAAAGTGTGCAGTAACAGAATGTCACCAGATGCAAAAACCTTTTATTTCTATTCAGATAATAGTGATGACAGTCTTCAGTGGTCTCAGCCTCACATGTCATCCAGGAGAGTATCAGATTGGAAACGAATGCTGTCCAAAGTGCCCTCCAGGTAAGAATCAACTGAATGATGAGTGTATGTGTTTTTCTAAGCACACAACTTAGATGAACAATGGGGAAAGAATTAAAAAAGAAAGCTCTGAATAAACTTGTATTTAATTTCTCCAGGAAGTCAAGTGAAAACACACTGTAAGGAGTACAGCAGCAGGTCCTGTGCTCCCTGCATGGGTGGAACCTACACTGATCAACAAAATGGTCTAGAACGATGTCTTTCCTGTACAAACTGTGACTCAGGTACATTTATGTTCACATCTTTATTCCCTGAAACAGGTAAAATTAACTGAGTAATTTTAAATCAGATCATTAAGGGAAGTCTCTGTCCATGGATCCATACATTCAAGATGATGATGATGATGATGATGATGATGGTGCACATTTAATGATGTCACAAAGACCAAAGGTGTTTGCCAGTCAGAAATCATGAACATATAAATCCTTCACAAACACATGAAACATGTTGAGTATTTTCTTTTTCTGTTGGAAGGTTCAGGACTGAGGGTAAAAACACCGTGTACATCAACATCAGATACAGTCTGTGAACCACTGGAGAGGTTCTACTGTGTTTCCTATGAGAAAGACAGCTGTAGAAGAGCACAGGAACACAGACACTGTAAACCAGGACAGTACATCAGACAGAATGGTAGGGTTGTGTTTTAAATTATAAGAAAAGTTTACGGAAACTAGCTCATTAACCTCTTACTTATTATATTTATTTTATTCAAAGAGGTCAACACACATGAATAAACATCAGCTTTTAGCTCCATCATGTAGAAATGTCTGATTTGACCTCAAAGGCTAATATTCAGCAGGTAAAGGAAACCAAAGATGCCGAAACATCTGAGTGCAGTTCAGAGCCAGGAGCATGGATCAAATTTAGTCATCATTAAACTCATATTAAACATCAGAGAAAACTTATTAGACTCACGTAGAAGCACAGACATAGATGAAGACTATCAAAAACAGGATTATGTGTGAGACTTGAGTCCAACATTTTTACTTTCTCAAGGCTTCTTAAAATCTTCCTAAAAAACACTTAAAGACTTGCATGAAAAAAGATTTCATTGATCAATTTATTGTTGATCTATAACATGAACCTTTAATGTTGGAGGTTCAGTATGAATGCAGACAGATGGATACTGGCTGGGAGGTGGTGTTCAGCATCCGTGAGGGCAGATTAAGTTAAAGGGTTCAGAGTGTCAGTCCACACTTATCTACACATGTTATTGTTGTCGTCATCAGGCACAGCCTCCACAGACACTGAGTGCTCTGACTGCAGCAGTGGAACATTTTCAAATGGAACATTTCACTCCTGTCAGCCACACACACAGTAAGTGAAGCTTCAGAGACACATGTGCAACATCTGTACACTACACTGTCCTCTAACAGTGTCCCTCTGTCCTTCCAGATGTCACTCACTCAACCTTCAGCTGATAACAGAAGGAACACTTGCAGCTGACAATCAGTGTGGAGAAAAAAGCAATCATGTGACCCCGACTATCACCGTGATTGTCTTAATTATTGTAGGACTAGTTATTAGTGTTATTAGTATTATTATGCTTAAAAAAAAGAAGGGGATTGTATTTAAATCCAGGTGAGGATGATAAAACAATGAAAATGTTTTATTTACTGGATCATCATGTTTTCTGACAATGATTTATTTTACTGGTTTTATTTGATTATAGAAACAGAAAGAACAGCACATTAAGGTATGTTTGTCTCTGTTTCTCAGTGTTTACTTTTTATGATGATAACACTGATTTATCTAAAAACTAATGCTGTCTTTCTTTACTTTACTCAAAAGCTCTCCAAAAGGAGAACAAGCAGAACTCCATATGCAAAGTCAAAGGTAGGTGTGTGTGTGAGAGTTGTTGAGTGAGTGAGCGGCACTGATGTCTCTACAGATGTATCAGAGCCTTAATCACATGTGCGTCTCTCCTCAGAGGGAAACCGAGTGAAGATAAAGAGAAAGAAAATGGTCTCCTCCCCCCAGAATAACTGGTAAATGGACTGGTCCGTACATGGTGCTTTTCTACCTGAGCACTAAGAGTGCTTATACAACAACATGCCTTATTCACACGAGCGCTTTTTTTCCTAAGCTTAAACGTTTTCTAGCATTCACATTCCAGAGAAGCAGCTTGGAGTTCAGTATCAAAAGACTTGTAGGCATGCAGACCGGAGCAGCCGGGCTTCAAACCACCAACCTTCCACTTAGTAGATGACCCTCCACCTCCTGTGATACAGACACATAAACATGTCCTGTTCTGATGCAGCTGGATGCTGACACGTTGTGTTTGCAGTGGACAGAAATCAAACATCTGGATCATCATGTCACTGCACTCACACTGAAACCTGCAGTGCTCCTGCTGACACACTCTTGGTCATGTGACTGTACACACAGACTCACACAGAGCTCAAAGCAGGAAGTGGAACAGACTGAAAATGGACTCATGGGATATTTACTGAATATAATTTAATTGTTTAAAATAAATTTAAACTTAAAAAAGATAAGTTAAAAAAATAATTCCAGAAGAGTGTGTGTTGGGATCGTTTTTTATGATATCTGTACAAAACTTTGATAATTGTATGTATGCAGGAGCAGCAGTAATGACAGATACATCGTACAAATCATTTGTGTGCTGTCTTATTGTATATGTACCTGATTGTTCTGGATACACTTTGAAGTATTTGTGCAGATAATACCCGAGACTTACTTCATTCCATGTAAAGCTTGTATATAGATTTGGTGTTTTGAAAGATTTTGGACATAAACAGTTTATTCATTAATAAACATGTTTGTGGTTTTCACAGTAAAAATCAAGACTTTTGATTTTTATTTTTGATCAGAAACAGTTGGGAGGTCTTCAGTGAGCCTCCAAACATAGCTGCTGGTTGGTTTTCTACCTGTTTACGTCCAACGCTCTACACATCTGTATGTTTCAGCTTTGTCCTTCAGTCTCAACATGGTTCATCTTAACTTCCTGCTAGCTTCTATCATGGTTAAAGCTAATGAATTTCATCACAGGATTCATGTGAACACCAGTAGAACTTTGTTATTGAAAATGTTGTTAGTACAGAGTTTGGATAAAGCTCAGCTGTTGATGCTGCTCACTGATTGGATTGTTCGTTTCAGCTCTGCTCCCAGTCTTTACTGCATAGATGAAGATAGAAGGTGTGACTGGATCTATAGACAAAAAGACAGAGAAATATGCAGAATATTTTATGCTTTGCAGTAGAAATGTTCATATTTTAAATACAACAGAGCTGATCTGGGATGTTCACTCCTGCAGATACAACAAGACTTCATGTCTTCACATGTCAACATGTGAGTTTTACTCTGACATACACTCAGTCTGAGCAGCCAGACGACATATTTTTAAAGTTCACACATCAATACACACAGAGCTGAGCCCCTCCCACCTGTCCTGCTCCAGGTGGAATCCTGCCTCTTTCCAGGAAGCAGCTCACCTGTGTGTCTGTGTGGAGTGGAGCTTGTTCGTGTGTGTGTTTGAAGAAACTGTAAGTTTTCTTTGTTTCCTCCTATAACAGTTTATCTTTATGAACTTTACTGTTTGTTTCTGCTCTCTAGTGTTTGGAGCAGATGTTCAACTCTTAATTCAGGATTTGGATCACTCTTGAGTTTGAAGACTAATCCACATCATTTTAGATTAATGATTGACTGGAATCCACACTGGTTATCCGTCAGTAACTCTGCACTGAAACATTTGTTACTTTCATAAACAGTATATATATCGATCTGTATGAAACTTTAAACCCATCAGACACTTATCAGTGATATGATGGAACATTGTTTTTCCCTTTAACTGGGAACAGTCAGATAAAATCATTTTGTTCTCAAGAAGTCGACCTTCAGGTCTTACTAAAGCGATGTTGAGAAAACAAGAAACAAAGCAGCTCAGTTCAGGATCACTGCAAGGAATGTCAGAATAAAAAATATATTCTTACAAAACCACCAACATTTACAGCATGTTTTGTACCCTGTACCTGACAGTAATATCTGCATATGGAGGCTGTGACTTACATCATGGATAATGTGCAGAATAGATTATGAACTTGGCCACTTTTCCATGTCTATGTGTTGTTGTCATGTTCACTTGTTCTTAATAAGTGGATTTGTAGTTTTCTTCTTTAGCATTTGAAGGCTTTAATCATTAATAGTTGGTCAGAGTGTGGTCACTTGTGTTTCTCACTATTTTGAGGTCCCAAGTATATGGATTTCTTTTTAACACTTTTTGCTACGTTTGAACTGTTTCCAATCTCAATGAAGGCTCGCATTAAGTTAAGTGAATTATGTCTTTACTGTCGGAGTAAAGTCTCAAACACATTTATACCTCTCTCTCCATAAATGAAGAACGTGTAAGACGTAAAGTGCAGAACCTAACTGTGATACTTTTGAAAAAGTCTCATGAAACCAGAGGCTCCCTGAATCTTTGCACCCTCGGTGCTCTGTGGAAAACTTCATTATTCTGTAAAAAGACTGTTTTAGAGCAGCCATACTCATGTAAAGGTTAACATCTCCACACAAGATACAACATGAATCAGCACTAGTTCACTGATGTCAGAGTCCTTATATACCAGGCACTTAGTGAACTCAGTTTATTCAAATTCAGTTGAGGATGTGACGATCTAAACCACTTTAACAAAGACTACACAGTTGTTTCCAGAAGATCAGGTCTGAGTCTGTCTCCGACCTTGTAGTCAGCAGAGCTGAGGAACTACAGAGCATTAACAGTCTGATCCAGACTGTTGATGCTTTCCTTTAACAATGACTCAGGATAATTCATGAAAACAGAAGAATGGATTTAAATGTAGAAGGAACAGACTAGAATGATGCTTTAATAACTTTGGTAACATTCAAACACAGACAAAACACATACTATGACACACTCAAACATGAGGAAATGTTCAGTTAAACAGTCAAGCAGTTCCTCTACTGATAGCTGATGATTGACAAGTCACAGAAACTTGTCAAGCTGGTAGACCAGAACAGGAAGTGATACATTTCTTATTTGCTTTAAAAAAAAATCAGATGAATAATGTGGATTAATGAGTAAATAAACTCCTGATGTATGTTAGTGTTTTTACAGCTCTGTTAAATAACCTGTTGTTACTGCTGATGCATCCCAAAGATCAGATGTGCTGCAAACTGAAACTATGCTGCATGCAGTTACCTGTTTTTCTAGTTTAAATTTTATCATACAAAGCATTTTTGTTTCTCACGAATATGATGGAAGACAGAGGAGGGAACTAATGCTTCTTCTCACCTGACTGTTTTCCTGTTATAAACATTATAGGGATATTATACAAATTGCTTTAGTTTAGAATATAGTTTTTCAAACATTTCTTTATGCCTATGTCCCTGAATTAATTTGATAATCATGTGAAGAACTTGTTGTCTACACATGAATTATGGTCTATTAATAAAGTCGAGACTATTAATTCTGATGTTATTATAGGCGATCTGTCAGCTTTCTGTTCAGCTTCCTTCTCTCACCCCAACACAGCAGATGGCGGCGCTCCCTGAGCCAGGCTCTGCTGGAGGTTTTTTCCTGTAAAAAGGGAGTTTTCCCTTCCCCCTTTTACCAAAGTGCTTGCTCATATGATTGATTGAGTTTTTTGGGGTTTGTATAACTGTAGCTGTCTTTACCTTACTATAGAAACAACTTTTGGTTTGTTGTTTTGGTGCTATAGAAAAAAAATTGAATTGAAGTTGTGCTGTCAATATAGAAACAGTTTGTTCTCATAGTTCATACTGAAAGTAATATAAGTGTGAAAATCGAACAGGATTTGATTTAAAGCTAAACAAATGACTTTTAGCTCAGTGTTGCTAAACAGTTTATTTTAACCCAAACCATGATGATGAAATACAAATCACAGAAACTCTGCTCTCTTCTGGTGTGTTCAGAGAGCAGGGAGGGTTCTCTGTTTGAGTTAGGATTAAGACTGTGTGTTGGTCAATCGCTCTAATCTTCTGTGCCGTTTAATAAAAAAACAACAACTACAGGATATAATAAAATAATTTCTCACATACTTGACTCCTCTGCTCAGCAGTATCAGAGCTCTTTTCTTGTTTTCTACTTTCTTGGCTTCCCGTCATGAAGCAACTGCCATCTTGTTTTTTTCTTCCATATCTAGTGTCTGTTCTCCATTTTAGAGAATGTAAAGCTGCTGAACCTGTTTTCATGTTAGTGTCTGTAGCATCCTTTGAAACAGCATTTCTACAGTGTAGCACTGAATCGGTTCACTAAACAGGTTCAGAGGAATAACTGGAATATTTCCCAAACAGAGAGAGCCTGATGAGATTTTTATACCCAGTGTACACTGTTTCTACTTTGAAATATACAATTTTTTGTGCTTTTTAATTACACAAGATAAAAATCTTTTGTTTCTTGGATTCCAATAAATTTTACTGAATCTTCCATTTGCAAAATAAAACCAATAAAGGCTCAACTAGAGCTTAAAGCCAGTGACAATAAATAGGTTTCAAATAGTTATTAAGTTGCTGTCAGATTAGGGAGCTCTAATGTGAAAGGGCAAGTTAAATATTAGGAACCACCACCGAAGAGACTCGCCTCTGCTTTTGAGCTCAGATCTATAAATGTCTAAGATTAGTTGGTTCATAGACTTCAGGGTCATGTTAAGACTGGCAGGCTGTAAACGTTCGGTTAGGTACAGTGGCACCATACCATCTGCACAGACAGCATGCTAACACAAAGCTAGCCAGGAACACAGAGTGATGTCAAACCTGAGTCTCTGGAGCACAGCAGCCAGAGCCGGAGCTACAACTGATGAGCAGTCAAGCTGCAGCCTCCTTTTCTACCTGTTCATGTTTCTAAAGTAGAAACACTGTGATGTTCGCTTTGAAAATAGAGCTCATAGAGACCAAGAGAAAGTGATCTGTGTTGGTGTGTGGGGCTGTAGTCTGTAGGTTTATATTGTTTAATTGTGAGACAGTTTCAGGTCATTTATGGAGACGTGAAAATAGTGTAACAAGTACAGGAGCAAAATACTCCACCGAGTGGTTAGGTAACATTTTGCGTTACTTTAAAGAAAAATAGCCAGTAATATGTAAGACATTACTTTCTTTTTGAGTAACCACCCTAACATATCATGTGAACTTTATTCTGACTCAGAGTCAGTCTGAGCAGTCAGACAGCATATTTTAGGAGTGAACACATGAAGGTGTGGCCTGCCTACACACACACACACACACACTGAGAGACAAGAACCCGCAGTTAAATGGTTCAGGGTAGACACACTGGTCCACGGTGTCTCTTACATGCTTTGCCTTAATATGGGATTGGAAAGTGAATCCTTCTCTAAAGCTTGATGCTCGTGTCAACACTGTGGTAAACAAGTTGAAAGAACGATCAAGCCTCTTATAAACGCATCCTTGAAATAATAAAACATTGTTTTGTTACTTCTTGTCTCGATTAGTTTTCTTTTTATCAGAATCAGCGAGGCCTCTGTTGCTCGTCTACAGTTGATGCAAAACACTGCTGCTTGATTTTTATCTGGTGCAAGTGAAGAGCACCTGAGTTCAGTGTCAGCTTACCGTTAACGACTTTGCTTGTTTGTGAATATATTTTAAAATCATTTTTGTTGGCCTTTAAGTCTCTTAATGGTTGTCCCTATTTTATCTGTGTGAGCTGCAGCACCTTTATGTCCCACCTTGTACTCCCAGGTCAGCATACCAGATGTTTTTACTTGTTTCAAAGACACAATGTAAACTGAGAGAGATTTCACAGCTGTGGCGCAAAAATTGTGGAATGATTTGCCGTTGATGTCCAGCTCCT